GGGCTACAGGTGCCGCATTCCCCAGGTCAAGCCACTTTTGAACCAGAAACGGTGGCAGAAGCGTCTGACCTGGGCTACAGAGAAGCAGCACTGGACTGTTGCTCAGTGGTCCAAAGTACTTTTTTCGGATGAAAGCAAATTTTGCATGTCATTCGGAAATCAAGGTGCCAGAGACTGCAGGAAGACTGGGGAGAAGGAAATGCCAAAATGCCAGAAGTCCAGTGTGAAGCACCCACAGTCAGTGATGGTCTGGGGTGCCATGTCAGCTGCTGGTGTTGGTCCACTGTGTTTTATCAAGGGCAGGGTCAATGCAGCTAGCTATCAGGAGATTTTGGAGCACTTCATGCTTCCATCTGCGAAAAGCTTTATGGAGATGAAGATTTCATTTTTCAGCACGACCTGGCACCTGCTCACAGTGCCAAAACCACTGGTAAATGGTTTACTGACTATGGTATTACTGTGCTCAATTGGCCTGCCAACTCTCCTGACCTGAACCCCATAGAGAACCTGTGGGATATTGTGAAGAGAAAGTTGAGAGACGCAAGACCCAACACTCTGGATGAGCTTAAGGCCACTATCGAAGCATCCTGGGCCTCCATAACACCTCAGCAGTGCCACAGGCTGATTGCCTCCATGCCACGCCGCATTGAAGCAGTCATTAATGCTAAAGGATTCCCGACCAAGTATTGAGTGCATAACTGAACATGATTATTTGAAGGTTGGCATTTTTTGTATTAAAAACACTTGTCTTTCATTGGTGGGATGAAATATGCTAATTTTTTGGGACAGGCATTTTGGGTTTTCATGAGCTGTATGCCATAATCATCAGTATTAAAACAATTAAAGACCTGAAATATTTCAGTTGGTGTGCAATGAATCTGAAATATATGAAAATTTCATTTTTATCATTACATTATGGAAAATAATGACCTTTATCACAATATGCTAATTTTTTGAGAAGGACCTGTAGAGCCGTCAGCTTTACCCGTTCAGCTCCCTGGTATAATGATGAACGGGGACACTTGAAAACGATTGGACGTGCCCTTGAGCATCTATGTCAGCTCTGGACTCGCTGTTACATCATTAACAACAGCCCTGGGAACTCCAAACAACTTTTTTCCACAGTAAATCATCTCCTTAAACCCAAACCCCCCTCACTTACAGAAACAACTGATGAACACTGTAATAACTTTATGGACTTTTTCCATAACAAAATTCACATAATCTGGTCTGCCCTGATAAACTTGGTAGTTTCACCTGCACCATTGTACAAGCCCCATGATAACAATCCTCAAATTCTTCGATGTTTTACATCAGTCTCCGAGCAAGAAGTGACAGCTATTATCAAAGGAATTAAATCCTCTTCCCCTCGATCCTTTTCCCACTGCTCTGCTGAAAAGAAACATCTTTCATCAGTCCTTTTATCACGTCTGTGATAAACCTCTCCATCCAAACTGGTTTTGTCCCACCTACCTTGAAAATGGCAATCATCAAACCTCTTCTTTAAAAGCCCACCTTGGATCCAGCCCATCATGTCAACTATAGACCAGTTGCCAACCTTCCATTTTTGTCCAAAGTACTGAAAAAACTTGTGGCAGCCCGTCTACATGACAACCACTAATAATATTTATGAGGTATTCCAGTCCGGCTTTCGTTCAGCTCATAGCACAGAGCTATTTTGGTTGGTACCCCACATCAAACTCACTCAACATCTATCTCTACAATAATCTTCTCTGGCCAAACCATTCCCTTTGCTGATACAGTGACTAATCTTGGTGTAAGATTTGATTATCATCTTACATTTGAATCCCATATTAAAAATATTTGCAAGACTTCATATTTTCATCTGAAAAACATCTCCAAACTCCGTCCATTACTCTCCTTTTCCGATGCAGAAAAACTTGTCCATGCTTTTGTTTCCTCTAGACTGGATTACTGCAATGCACTTTTATGGAATTCCATCCAAGCACATTCAAAAACTTCAATATGTACAGAACAGTGCAGCCAGGATTCTGATGGAACAAAGGAAATATGATCACATCACCCCAATCCTTAAATTTCTGCACTGTCTTCCCATTTCGCTACGTATTGAATACAAGGTTTCCTTACTCACCCACCAATCCATTCACAGCAATGCTCCACACTATCTTAAAGAACTGCTCACTGCTCAGACATCAACACGATCCCTCCACTCCACAAATTCCTATTCCACAAATACAAGCTTCACCCTCCCCGGACAAAACTGTGCACCATGGGTGACAGGGCCTTTTGTTCTGCTGCTCCTCATCTGTGGAAAAATCTCCCTGACCATCTAGGGATACCCCAGACTACAAAAAGTTTTAAGAAAGGACAGAAGACCTTTGTATTTAAAAGATTTTATAGTGTGTAAAAGTATTTTAACCCTGCAGTTTTTTATTTTATTTTATTTAGCTTTTAACATTTTTTAGTCATTTTTTAGTCCACATTTTATTCTCTTTAGATATTTTATAATATAGCACTTTGAGATTGTAAAATGTAAAGTGCAGTATAAATTGAATAAATTATTATTATTACCTGTTGTCCAAGTCTAGCTTCCACAACTCTCTCCCAGATCTTCATGGTGTCGCTCATCAACTTAATTCTCTTGTAGTTCCAAAACCTCTGTACATCACCCTTGTCCTTAAAAATGGGCACCAGCACACTTCTCCTCTATTCCTCAGACATTTTCACACTCTCAAAAATTCCAATAACTGATTCAAAAACCTCACTGCCATATCTCCTAGACATTTCCATACACATTCCAAATTTCATCCCCACTAATCTTTTCTACTTCCTGGTCCACCATTTCTATAATCTCTATTCTTCTCTCCCTTTCATTCTCTTCATTCAATGAATGAAGATCATCCTTCCATATCCCAATCACTCTCTTTGATGGTTAGAACATTACCATTCCTATCTTGAACAAGCCTAACCTGCTGCACATCCTTTCCAGCCTGATCCCTCTGTCTCGCCAATTGTCTTTCTCGCCCTCCTTAGTTCAGCTTCCCACACAACTCATACACCTTCTGTTTTGCCTTAGCTACCTCCCTCATTGTCTCCTCTCTTCAGATTCAGGTTTGGTTTATTTGTAAAATGCAAAATTAACATAAGGTCAACAATGCAATGAAATGCTTAGGACGAGAAGAACCATCTCGACTCCTCAAAGAAAAAAAGAAATAATAAAGCATTCAGCAAAAATACTAAAACGTACTGTAATACTACAAAGATACTAAAACAAGGTGCCAAAAGTGAAAGAGAAATGCATTTACAGTTAGCAGCAAGGTTCTTTCTGCAACATGGTTCTGTTCTGTTAGCAGCGTGGTCTTGTTAGCAGGTCCGGTCAGCAGCTTGATTGTAATGAGGACTGCAGCAGCTGTCCTCACAGACCACAGTCTAGAACCGGGTCCGGCAGACAGAGCGCATCCCAGGTTTCCCCACGAAACCAAACGAGTCTGTAGAGTTCAGTCCATGCAGGCAGATGGAGGTTCTTGTTAGCAGCCAGTCCTCTCACTGTCCCGTTTTTTCTTGGCTTCCTGTACTTCACTATTCCACCAGGTTTCTTTATTATCTTTTCTTTGTCCAGATGTCACACAAAGTATCTTTCTTACTGGCTTCTCTAATCACTGTTGCTGTAGTACTCCAGTCATCTGGAAGTTCATTATCACCCAGAGCCTTTTAACAGCTCAATGGGACATGGGCCTGGGGGTCGTGACCTCAGCACTCCTTTTAACCACCTAACTTGACACTTTAAGAGTTGCTACACTCAGTTCTTCAGCATTCCTACAGCTATAACATGAACTGGTAGATTGCTGTAATACAACAATGTATTTAAATGTACTTAAAACCGTTTAAAAGTTCTGAGCTTTTTTGAGAATAAATTCAAAACGTTGAAAGCATTTTTTTTTTAAAGAAGTTATTTTAGATCATACATTACATGTAAAGCTGTACACAAATCATACATTGTCTCACATTTCCTAATGGTTTAAGCTTCTTTATGAGTTGGAGAACAATAATAGTGATTTAAGATATTTATAGGCAAATGTTTTGAAAGGACAACACACTGTAAATTTGTGAGACCGTTATTGTGAAGGATTGTAGGAAATTGAGTTACATTCAGCAGGAGTAATCATATTTTGATTTAATCTTAAAACTTTAAAAGCATTTTTCTTTTTTATGAGTGGCTTTGATGTTTTTTGATCATCTTTAGTTTTGAGAACTAGTTAAGCCGGACCAGATTCACAAACTAATGTCTAGACAACATGGGGGGCCAAGCCCAAAATGGCTTATAGCCATTGTTAAACAGCATCAGTCTCAGAAATTTCAAAGCAGTTCATGCAAATATAATTTTAATATACAGTCGTCAGGTTTTGATTATGTAATTTATATAAAATTATATAATTCTTTTCAAAAGCAGTTGGTGGCAGCAGCAGCTAGCTGTAGCACTAGCATGGCAAACTTCTGCAGGAATTGAACATTTCTGTTTAGTCAACCATGTTGTGTGTAATTGATGGTGATGTAAGGTTTTAAGTAAATGTTTGCATGAATAGTCTTGGCTGTGTTTATACTGTTTGAAAGATCTCAAATTGGAAGAAGAGTTTCATAGATCCATTGAAGACACGTAAGCCATTGTTTATACTCGGAACACCACTTCAAAATGGCTGAAATGACTCTTTATAAAGCTCAAAACTTGTTTTTCTTGACTGCTCATATTTATTTACATGATTTCTGACGGGTAAAACTGTGTGAGCATTGCTTTGAAAGACCTGACCATAAAAACATAAGAATAACATTTCATTTCATGAAAAGATGAATCAGATTTTCTTGGAAATGGAGATGACGGAAACATTGAAGCTCCTTGCCGTTACACTTTAACGTTTCTGACCAGACACAACATGATTGTTCATCAAATGATCTGTTCTAAATCTGTTGCTTTTAGTACAGTTCTCTCTGTGATGTATTAATGATTTTCTTGTTTTATGCAGGCGAGCCCAGAAGGTATGATGCCTCCTTCAAAGGTCCACTCCACAACAGGTGAGTCTGACTTCACCACTGATGGTGTGGTTCCCAATGAAAGGTTTCTTGTTCATCATTCATCCTCTCCATTTTAGGAGCTGCACAGACATCGCCTGCTGCATCCTGTTTGTCGTCGCCATAGTGGCATATATAGGTGTTGGAATACTCGGTAAGGATTACAGATTTATTTACGTATTTAAGGAATGCATCATATGAGCTTTGAATGGATTTATGTGTGTGAGTGTAACATTAACATTCAGTATTTGTGCTTGCAGCCTGGTCCCATGGTGACCCGAGAAAGGCGATCTACCCCACAGACAGTCGGGGTCAGTTCTGCGGGCAGGCTGGCACTCCACTTGCGTGAGTTGACGTTCCATATTGGCTCAGAGATGGAAACTGCTACTGGTTTGAGGGTCAGCACAAACCAAGAGTGGTGTTAGACACAAAGCCCTCCCCCCCAAACTTACACACACCACCACCCAATTGCACCCCTAATGCATACTCATCCATTTAGTTTTTGCTTGGGAAAGCTTGGCGCTATGAAAAGTGCTCCCACTTTATACTGCTTTGCTCATGATCACCAATGCCGCACTCATACTGACAAAATAACTGGTAAACATGACAAATTAGAATATTTCAGAGGATATTTACTGATGTAGACTAGAGTTGCATTCGGGCCTAAAAAAAATCTCTTGTCCCGGCACGAGCCCATCGCCATTTTGTCTGAGCCCGACCCGACTACTTAATTGTAATTAGAGGCAGAACCTGAAAGAACATTTTTTTTTTTTTTAATTAAGCTTTTTCTGCTTTTGTAAGCAAATCAGTTTGACATGATAGTTAAAAAAAAAAAACGATTTAAAAGAAAGGAAGATATAAGATTTCAGCGGATTATTCTAGTTATTATAATATTATAGTTATTATAGTTCTTAACGGTCAGTGGACGAGCGCGGCCGATGATCCGGTTGTCCATCTGAAGCTTTAGACTTTTATTTTTTTATTTTTTTACCTCTTTCAACCGGCCGGTCGGACCGGAGTGTGCACCTGACACACGTTCACCTGACACACGTTCACCTGACACACGTGCACCTGACACACATCAGCAGGTTTCACTGAGCTGGATTTGTAGAGTGACTTCTCCCACGTTTATCTTTTGTTTAATACTGTCCAGCTCCATTATGTCACTTGTTGTAGGTTAATTGCAAATCTTCAGATGTGTGATAAGAGCAGGGCGGGCGGGGCCACATGTGCAGTTGTTGCGCAATGCGCAAGCACTACTTGCTTTTCACAGTCTGATTAACTGCTGCGCTCCATTTTATTTATTTCTCATCCTCAACATATAAACTTACTGCCTCCTCCTCTACAAGTACATTAACACAGTTTTATATTGTACGTTCTTATTTAGTTTTCTTTGTGCTATATGATTTGTAAAACCGCATCAAAAGCCAGATTGGACAGACCCGTCTCGCCCATCAAGCACATAATTTTGACCTGACCCGACCTGAATTTCGGGTCGGGCACGGGCTCGGGTCAGAAATCGCAACTCTAATGTAGATATGTGCCAAACAATAAAGTACTACGTGCGCTGCTTGGCACTTCACCACCATAAAACAGTCGCTTCATAATTTAAATATAGTAAATAAGTAAAATTTCCACGTCCAAATTCATATTTTTCTGCCTCACAATCAGTGTTTTGTGCTCTGCAGGAAATTCAGACATCCAGTTGTTCAAACCATGAATTATTTTTAAAAGTACAAGATGGTTTCAATGATTTTCAGGCAAATTTCTTTTAAATAAAAATGCCAAATGAAAAACAGTCCCTCGTCTTAAAATTTCTGTTTTTGATTTGCACAGACTTGTAAATTGTAGTTCCAGTTTGTATTAATTCTCCCGTCATATCATCAGGAACAAAAGTAAATTATTCTACTTCAACATCATGAAATGTGCCAGCCCCATGGTGCTGCTGGAGTTCCAGTGTCCGACCACACAGGTGTGAACCCTTTACATCCTTTCTGCTCTAGATTTTGTTATTTATTTCCTGAGGCTGTGATGGCTAATTTTTTATTATGCAGTTGAGACACACCACTGCTTTTTTTGTTTTCTTCTTTGTTCATCATCACATTAATGTTACCGTGTCCTTCTTTAAATGCTCATCCTCAGATGTGTGTGGAAAAGTGCCCAGAAAAGTTCATGACGTTAATAAAGGCAAACGCCAACACAAAGGACTTTGAATACTACAAACAATTCTGCAAGGAGGGAGTGACGCAGTCAATGGTGAGCTGCTGCGAGAACTGGTCTTATTTTATTTTATTTTTTTGGTATCATTCTAAGTCGTGATGTATTTTTTTATGTTTTGTGTCTCTGTTCAGGGTGCACCAAAAATCCTTCAGCTTGGTCTCTGTCCTGCTATGCTGCTACCCAGCAAGTCCTGTGAGTTGAACTTCTAAAGTACAGTATTTATTTATATTCCAAGGCTCCGTATTAATGAATTAAACTTGTGCTGTATACATCCTGCTGTATAATGTCTCTGAAGCTTTAGCACTTCATGAAATCAGTGCTAGTGTTTATTACATTTGACAGTTGTGTTTTCCTCCGATGCCTTTCAGTCACCCGAAGGTGCTTTCCAGCTTTAGGCTTGAAGGACGGCAAAGTCACCGTTGGAAACAACACTCAGTTTGACGATGGCTCTGGAACCATGAAAGATGCCAAGGACCTCATAGACGGAGTAAAGTACGTGGATCTGCTGTTACAAGGAAATATGCTGACTGTGACAACTTTAATGCCACGTTTACACTAAACCAGATAGTTTTAAAAACTCGGATAAAAAAAAAAAAAAGACTATTATTCTGCATCTGTAACTTGTTCACACTAAGAATCTTTGGCAGGAAAATTTGAGCTTTCAAGTATAAGAAAGATTCTGTAAAACTAACTATTACAGGTAATGTACAAATGTAAACCTGTCACGGCTTTTTTTAACTTTTAGATGAGCTGATGTTTATATAACTGAAATATTTTATATTTGACACTGACGGCCAGTGCTTAATCTGAGCTGGATCCTGCCTGAACAGGATCTGGGATCTTTCTTCTTTTGACAGGGTGGGTTCTGGTAACTGTTTGGATCCGGTAACTCTCAGGCTTACTAATGATAGTTATGAACAAATTTGGCTGCCTTCACAGATTAAAACCTATATTTGATATGTAATCTGAAAAAATATTTACATACGAACTCATTTTAAACTTAACAGCCACTTACAAGCTTCCTAATATCACATCAGAGCTGCTCCTTCAAGTAAGCATTTCCACTTCTACCCTTAAAAAAATCTCCGCCCCTTAAAGTACAGTCATGGGCAATTTGATTCAAACACGCACACAAAAAAAATTAAACTGCACAACAAAATTGCATATCAGTTTTACAGTTTAAGTGGGTCATTAATAAAATTGATTTATCAAAAATACAAGAGAAATGTTTTATGGGAAATGTATTTTTGTAATGTCATTTCGTACATCACGTATCAAAACAACGGCGCCAACTTTTCAAAATAACAGCGATCAAAATGTCAAAAAGGCAGTCCAGTTTACTTTCATAAAAAAAAAAGTTTTCTCATTGTAAAACAAAACAACTGAGAATTGAAACGTATGAAGGCAGTGGCAATGAAGATAGTAGTGGAGCAGGTATAAGAATGCATGAGAGAAGTGGAGCTTGCTCTATTCACACAAGGAGAGCTGTTGGTCAGGCTACTTCTTCTTGCTCTTTAAAATAGTTGTTGAATCAAGTGTTAAGAAATCTAGGTAAATGGAGAGGTTTAACAACCCATTAAAATACACCAAAATGCAGGAAATGGCATCTACTTTATTCAAAACTTTCTGGGGGCGGACCCCCCCCCCGGCTATTTGCCTTCTGCCATTGTTTGGTTTACAAATTAAGCCCTGCTGACGGCAGATAAACACTCAGGTTTGTCCATTTTTAGGAATGCCACTGTGGTTATCGAGGCTCGTCAGACGGTCATGAAAATCTTTGAGGATTACACCCACTCCTGGCCCTGGATCATCCTGTGAGTTTTTCTCACTCTATGTTCTGGTTTCTTTTATTTTATTTATTTGTTTGTTCACTCACACTCTCTGCTTGCTCTCTACTCTTTGCAGAGGGTTGGTTATTGCCATGTTCGTCAGCTTGCTCTTCATCTTCCTCATGCGTTTCCTGGCTGGCATCATGATCTGGATCATCATCATATTGGTGATAGCAGTGATAGGATACGGTAAAATCCAAAACACGTGATTCCTTTGTATTCCTTTATACTTTCCTGTAAATAACTGTAATCTGACAGCCTCTTTAGAAACTAGTTCAGAACAACTGACCAGAATTGGTTTATTAAATCCTGAATATCCACAAAAAGATGAGTAAGGGTGTTGGGGTACAAAAGCAAAAAATTGTGAAATGGACAAAAAACTTTTTTAAACAATTTGCAATTGATGACTGGACATGCTTCAAAAATTATTCTTCATAACAAAACAATCAGGATTGATGAATGTTCAAAACTGATGAACTAAAATCAGCTGCAAACACACAGTCTTTATTTTCTCACCCAACACATCTAAAATAATCATTGATAGGCTAAAGTTGGCAGAAATATAACTAACCATTTTGTTCCTCAGAGAGGTATCTGTCATTATTGTAGTAGCAAAAATAAATCTAATGAAGACCCCCTGCGATTGTTTGCCAGCAGTCCCAGTTAGATACTTCCTTTGGTTGTTTAGTCCTTTTTTTATTTTATTATAAAAAAATTAAAAAATGACCGTGTAAATGTGATATTGATGCATATACAGTAGTCCCTCGATACTTCGCAGTTCGTTTTTCGTGGATTCGCTATATTGCGTTTTTTTTTTAATTTTTTTTAAAGTAAGACAGGACATGACACATTTGGCTGATTGATGGATGAGTCATGGATTGTTTATTTAAAATAAATTATTTTAAATGATTTTGTACCATGTGTGAATCCCACAAGTGCAGGGGGAAGCTCCCTCCTGCAGCTGATCAGCTGATCTCCTTCTCTGCCACACACATTTCTCCTGCTGCAGCTTTGTGAAGGTTAACCCTTTGCTGTCCAGATGTACCGATCGACTTTTATCTTCAAACTTAAAATTCAAAGTATGTCACATCGAAAAATCATCATAACCACAAAATATAAAAGTGTTAAGTTTTTTTCAAATATTTTAGAACTTCTATGTTCAGTTGTTGAAGTATAATTGATAAAAAGTACATTTCTGCTCCGTTCTGCAGAGCTGAAGCTGTGTGACATCCTTTGATGTCCTGCTGCACTTCTCTTCTCTACAATTTAAATTTAAATACTGTAACATTTTAAATAAACAATCCATGCTGCATGGATTGTTTATTTAAAATGTTACAGTATTTACATTTAAATTGTTTATTTAAGGATGGAGATTGGGATTAACAGGTGATGAGCGTAATTACAGCCTGGCACATGTCATGATAAAGTTTACTGAACTTGAACTTGGACTACTGTATCTCTACTTTGTGGTTTTTCACTTATCGCTGGTGGGCGTGGTCCCAAACACCCGTGATAAATGAGGGACTACTGTATCTGTATGCATTATTTAACGTTCAAACTTTGTCCAGCTGCACAAAACCTTAAATTTAGGATTTTTCGGTGTAGAACTGGTGTGGTCTGAACGAGACAAATCTTTTTTTTATTTTTAATGTATTTTCCAAATTCATTCAACCTTTATTTAAAATCCAACCCAGGTCTTTTTACTGAATCAGACACGTATCCAATGTTTATCAAAGCGACTGCAGTCTGAACGGTTATGACTCATTTCATCCGACTGTTACATCAGTGAGGTAGAGGTCAGCGGATCAATCCAAGTATTAATAATAATGATACAACCTGGTGCAGTTTAAATCATGGGACTCTGCACGTCTTCAGCTACAGAACTGAAGTCCAGCTGCTGCTTCTTTGTTGTTTTTATTTCTTGTGTCCCGGAGGCCAGGCTGATTCTGGCAGATCCTGATCATCCACTCCATGGTGAGTTCAGGTACTTCCATCTGGATGTAGGTATCTGCTGCCCAGATGTAGAAGGAACAGACTGAAGAACTCATTCATCCCTGGAGAGATCAGGGTTCTGAATGAACAATGGTGATGTGTGTATTGTTATTTTAATGTCTCAGTGTCAAGTAGAGATGTTTTATCTGTCTACAGACTGAAACAAATTGCTCCTTGGGGATAATAAAGATGAACTTGACTCGATGACAGAGAATCTACAGCAACATATGAAACAATGTTGGTGTCAGAATGTATCAATACTAACGTGACAAGATCGATACTTGAGTTTGTTTTTACCTTCAGTTCGTCTCTTTCGTTCCAAAATTACAACCTGTGCCAGAGTAGCCATCAAGATGCCAAAATAAATGAACGCTGTCGGACAATGATGTAATTGTTTCTGATTGCACAACTTCAGAATCACATATGCTAACACGTGTAGCATCCATATTTGCTTCCTTAAACACAGCGTGCTGTGTGTGATGTCATATTTTCTTCTGTGCACTGTAAAAGGTTCATGCTGGAGTTTGATGGAGGTCACGTTTTAATGATGATCTGAACCACCATGGAAAAAAAAAATCAGATCTGAGCAAAAGATGGGAATTGAACATTAGGAGCTGCAGTGTGAACGTTGACTTAGTGTCACTTCTAAAGTTTGTCAGTACACATTAATGTCGAGTCCTTCAAAATCTTCATTACCTGCCATCTAAACATCCTCTGACTGGATGCTGAAAAGCACGTACAGGTGGTCGTTCTTGTTAAATGAAGCACATTTTTCTTCCTACAGTTTCTTCTTTTAGCCCCTTCATTAAAAACATCAATTAGTTATCATCATGAAACGGTTTGTTTTGGTGTTTTTAGGCATCTTCCACTGCTACATGGAGTATGCTGCCCTGAAGGGACAAGCAGGTGCTAATGTGACGCTACAGGAGCTGGGCTTCCAGTCGGACTTCACGGTCTACCTGCAGATCAGACAGACATGGCTGTCCTTCAGTCAGTGCACACCTCACGTCTACGTGTTCTTCAGGTGCTTTTCAAACGAGACGGTCCTTCAATCTCCTCCTTGATGTCTTTTAGTGATTATCCTGGCCATCGTAGAGGTCATCATCATCCTGCTGCTCATCTTCCTCAGGAAGAGGATCCTCATTGCTATTGCGCTCATCAAAGAGGCCAGCAAGTCAGTATTCACAATAGAACATTAAAAATGTAAAGAAAATAAAATGATAAAGTTAGAGCAAGGATTGTTCCAACTTGGTAATAACTTCAGTATTATGTTTGGTAACGGTGTAAATAGTTCAAGTAACGGCACAAACTCCAACATGACTGACCATGAGAATAAATGTTACGTTTTTGTCTGGGATGTCTGCAACAACCAGAGATGTTTACTGGTCATTTTGTTCTTTTCTGTCTCCAGAGCCATTCGGTATGTGATGTTTTCCCTTTTTTACCCACTGGTCACGTTCTTGTTCCTGGCAATCGTCATCGCCTACTGGGCTGTAACTGCTGTGTATCCTTTATTCACTTGGTTTTTCTGTTGATCTAGTTTTTAACATTTATTTTAATGTTAAAGATCATGTTTCTTCAACCCATGTCTTGAGTACTGCCTGCAAAAGTTTTTATGTGCCCACAGAATTATTGTTTGTTTAGTTTATATTTATTTAATTTTAAATTTAGTCCGACATTTTCTCTTCCCTTACAAAACAGATGTGATCTCAGTGGGATTTGCCCAACTTTGGCACAGTTACTGAAAGCAGCAGCTCAGGGGCCGAACATCCAGTAATTAAAGTCATTATGTAAATAAGCCAAGTATTAGTTGTTGTTTTTTTGTATGAAGTGAACTGGATTGAAGTCGCCGCCAGTGGAATAGCCCTGGACTATTGCATGTAACCCAGCGTGGGCGTAGTCATGGCAACAAGCCTGGAGGACAGCATGCTGTCACAGCGGGGATTAATTTAAACATTCACCTAAATGTATGTTCAAGGTCTTGATGGAACATTAACAGCGTGACAGATTTGTGCAGGATATGTATAAAAATGCTGATCTAAATGGCTGAACATCATCGTTTCTCTAAACGCTTGATGTGCTCATTCCTGCAGTATCTTTTTAGAGTGAATCAATGAGTTCACTTCTACACGATTTTATCCGACATGCTTTATAAGCACAAGTTTAGTTTTAAAACCTTTGGGTTAACGTCATTGTACGTTTTCGAATAGTTTAAAGACTCAAACGTTTATTTTTTTCCCCCATTGATTCAAATTAAAAAGTGTTGCATGCAAAATAGAACTGTGTGTACAGGAATACCGATTCACTGAAAGTCCCAGTGATCTGATTGTCATCGACTTTAAGCCTTGACGGAACACGTCAGCTTCTTGTCGACGTCCAACGAGGCCATCTACAAAGTTTTCAACTCGTCTGCCTGTGAGCACTCCAGGGAAACTTGTGATCCAGCTGTAAGTTTTTAACTTCATTCACATCACCGCAAATTATAAAAGGCCATCTTCAGCGAATCACATTTTTATCTAACTGAGCGATGAATATTTAAATTTTGTGTGTGTGTTTTACGTCAGAACTACTCGATAAGCACAGTGAAAGCACAGTGTCCTGACTCGGAGTGCCTTTTTGCCTTCTACGGTGGAGAAACGGTTTACCACAAATACCTGATCGGCCTGCAGTTCTACAACGTCTTCCTCTTCTTCTGGTGTGCCAACTTCGTCATCGGTCTGGGTCAGATGACTTTAGCCGGGGCCTTTGCCTCGTATTACTGGGCCTCTTCCAAGCCAAAGGATATACCTAAATTCCCCTTATTTTCTTCCATGGGCAGAGCGCTCAGGTGTGCAGTCATGTGCTTATTATTGTAGCCTTTTCATCTGACTTCCTGCGTTTTTACTCATGAGATTTGTACATTTTAGGTATCACACGGGAAGTCTGGCGTTTGGTGCTCTGATCCTCTCAATCGTTCAGATCATCAGAGTTCTTCTGGAGTATTTGGACCACAAACTGAAAGGTCTGAAGCTTTCTGTAGTGTCAGCGTTTTGTAGATGGGTAACGAGAATACATGCACTTGGTTTAGGGTTTACTGTACAATCTGTTTGAATTTGCAGGAGCCCAAAACAAGTTTGCAAAGTTCATGTTGTGCTGTCTGAAGTGCTGCTTCTGGTGTCTGGAGAAGTTCGTCAAGTTCCTGAACAGAAACGCCTACATCATGGTGAGGACTGGACCACAGAGGAAAAGAAGCAGGTTTAGAACCGTAAAAAGTCCCTCAGCAAACTCCAGATGTACTCTCTGTACCATAAAGGCGGATGTTTCGATGCACTTTTCTGAAAATAATTATCCGTCAGATAAAGAATCTGGTACCGCGACAGATTATTTTGCAAACTCAAACGCACACAGCTCGAGACGAAGCACCTGAACGGTATTTGGTGACACGGCAAATGTCAAGTGCACCAAATGTTTTATTTTTATGTCTAGTTAAATCAAATTTATATAAAAAAAAAAAATTGCTGACTAAACTGATCAAGTTCAAAATCATTTTTCAGTCGTTTTGAGATGGGTTTTGTGTAAATGTAATGAATTAATATCTTACCTGTTGTAGATATCTCTTAGAACAACCTCAGTTTTAGAGGATTAGTTAAATTTCATTCAACCTTTATTTCTACAGGTTAATCCCATTGAGCCTCGAGGACTCATTTACAGGAGAGACCTGATTTAACAAAGAATGATGACAGCAATGGATAATGACGACAATAGGCGGTCATAAAATAGGCATACAGGTTTAAATTCCTCTTCTTTTTTTTAACAAAGCAAAACAAAATGGCAACCAAAAGGACAATCAAGAGGAATAGTAGCGAGAGAGAAAAACACAGATTATAAGGCGATTTAGAAAACTAAAAACAGGAACATGTCTGAATTGGTTTTTGCCAGGAACTTAGCAGATGTTTTAAAATCACTTAGAGAGGTCCAGGCCGAGAGCTTCAGATCTTTTTGTAAGATATTCCAGGAAACGGGAGCGGAGTAGAAGAAGGCCCTTTTGCCAAATTCAGTTCTCACTGAGGGAACACTGCAGGTAATGATGTCCTGAGAGCGCACGCTGTAGCTGCACTCACACAGAGACATGTAGGAGGAGATGTATGAAGGCAGCAGACCATGAAGTGATTTAAAGATGAAAATGTACCAGTGAGAGAGTCTGCGTGAAGTTAATGATGTCCAGTTGACCAGTGAATACAGGTTGTGACAGGACGTATGAGCTGAAGGTTAGTCTGAGCAGAGCCAAGACCCGATCAGATTTGCTGTTAACACAACTCTGACCTTGTAAACTGCTATAAATGTTGGTCTTCTCTATCACCACCAGTTGTGACTTCATAGGTGTCACATTAATTACGTGTGAAGGGGACGTGTTGCGCGCCAGCATTATGTTAGTGCCGGCAGTTTTTGACTGCGGTGGTGGTTGGGAGGATGTGTGAGAAAAGCGGAGCGTGCTCTTTTCACACAAGTAGAGGTTTTGATCAGGCGGCTACTTGTGCTTAGCACAGTGGCATGTTGTGTTACAACTGAAACTAAGTCAGAAATAAAATAAAAATTAAGTGTGCCCCTAAAGTTATTGTTTATGATAAGTTGTCACATTATTTTCATTATCATAGTCATAGAAGTGAGTTTAAAAACAGGATGATGCATTTTTGGACTAGTTGAATGAGGAATCTGTCTCTAAAATAGTTAATTGAATCAAGTGTAGGTAAATGTAGATGTTTAACAACCTGTTGAAATAGATCAGATTGTACCCCCCCCCCCCCCCCCCCATTACAAATGTTTCTGATGCCAGTGTGTTATTCTGGCAAAATGCCATAAAAATCCTGGAAGTTCCTCAGGATGCACCAAAATGCTACACTTCAAATAATCATATTATCCCATGTAAGCTAATTCATATAACGTGAAAAAGATGATAATAATAATAATGGTAGGTGAAACAATTATGACATGAACCACCATAAAATCTTTGACATGGAGCTGTTTTAAGGCGTAGGCACTACTCTCTGGTCTTATGTTCAGACTAGCCCTTAGCTCATCACTCCAGTCAGACTTGAAGTTTTTTCTTCGAACTGAGGCCGTTCAAAAAGCTATCTGCGCCAGGTAAGATATCGATGCTTAACTGTTCCACAAGACCCCTCTTCAGAAAGGATGAAACATCCCTTTAAGGACACCAGAATGGCTGTTTAAAATAATTTAATAAATGTGATGAGATGAATATCATCACTTAATTCAACATGTTAGAATTAGGGAAGCTATTTACAGTCACTTCTCTTTGAACATAACCAAAACTAGATAAATTGCATTTCCTGTGTGAAGTGTGAAGTCTTATTGCTGAAGAACTTGCTGAAAAACAGCTTAAATTAGTTTAAAAAACAACTGAAATGTAGCTGAAATGGAAGAAAGAGCCTTAATTAGGAAAATAAAGCAGAAAGAACACGTATTTGCTGAATTAGGCTGAAAGAAGCAGAAATTAGCACAAAATTTGAAAAATTTCTGAAAACAAGCTGAAATGAGCCACAAACAGCCGAAGACTAGATAAAAACAGCTGAAAGAAGCTTAAATTTAGCAGAAGGAAGTTGAGAGCACATTTTTGCTGAAATAGACTGGAAAAAGGAAAGATGTACAGAAGAAGTATAGTAACCGGAATAATACATATATACAGGATCACAATAGTGTGAATGCTTAATTCACACTGTTATATTCTCAGCAGTAATTTAATCTGTTTAGTTTAAAACCAGGTGGATCTGATCTAATTTTTTCCTCCGTGTTGGACGCCTCTCTGTTGCTGCATCGTTGTCTTGGTTGTAACTTGCACATTTGGCCTCTAGGTGGCGATTTATGGCAAAAACTTTTGCACTTCTGCCAAAGACGCCTTCTTCCTCCTCTTGAGAAACATTCTCAGGTGATTATAAATATTACCTTGAACTGTTCTTTAGATAATTTCCAGTCTAATACGAACCATTCCTTGATTCCTCAGGGTTGCTGTGGTGGACAAAGTGACGGACTTTCTCTTGTTTTTGGGGAAACTTCTCGTCGTCGGGCTCGTCGGTCAGTCTGTTTCATTCACGTGTGATGCTCAGGCTGTAAATATGTAATTTACAACTTTACCTGGTGACATCTAAATATAAAGTCTTGCAGGACTTAGCTTGATGTTAGTTGATGTCTACCTGTTGCTGTGGTTGTAAATTACAACCTGAGTATTTTTGAAGAACGGCTGAAGTTAGCTCAGGATAAATCTGATGTGTCTGAAGAATAATAGAACTGAACTGCCTTTAGACAGGAGTGGTTTTTAATGTAGCCCTTCTGATCATGTTATCTTCATGCTCAGGGGTCTTCGCCTTCTTTTTCTTCTCTGGGAGGGTAAAGGCCTTCCAGGATACAGCTCCTAATCTCCACTACTACTGGGTGCCCATCCTGGTGAGAATAAGAGGACTTTTTAAATATGTCTCACGGAAAGTAGCATCACCTGATTAACGTTGGGTCAGATACAGTATATGTTTGTTGTTGTTTTGCTTGTGAATATCTCCATGGAAACACTATAAATGAGTTTTTCTCCACCAGACTGTAGTGATCGGCTCGTACCTCATCGCTAACGGATTCTTCAGCGTCTACTCGATGTGTGTGGACACACTGTTCCTCTGTTTCTGTAAGTGTTTTTATTTATTTAAAGCGTCCCCACAGTTTTAATCAGGAGATGTTTGTAACAAAGCCTAACCAGCGAGTCGTGTTGAAGAAATGTTGGCGTGAAGCTTCTCTGACTTCTCTTGGTTTGGGGCTGCCACTAATTCTTAATGGCTTGGTTTTATGAACAGGTGCGCCTCGCGTACATTTCTGCTTCACTTCATAAATCTGGTTCACTGTTACTCTTTACCTGAAAGTTGCTTGTTGATGAACTCTAACCTTGCATTGTCTGTGGGTGCTTTTTCTTGCTTGCGGTTTGACTTTCTTTTCTTTTTCTCTTTTTTTTTCCTCCCTCACTTCCCACAAATCACCACCTTCCATTTCTCTTCTTGTTGCCTCCGTACCTTCATTTTGTCTTTACTAATCATTAACACCCACACACACACATTAAGGTGAAGACCTGGAGCGCAACGACGGTTCGGCTGCTCAGCCTTATTTCATGACGCCGACTCTCCGTGAGATTCTGTGGAAGGACGAGGCGGAGGGTCCGTCTGCGGCCTCTGCTCAGCAGCTCGATGAGGACGCCCAGCTGAAGCGAGAGCCGGAGGACGCAGCTTAGAGACGAGGACTTAGAGGCACAACGTTTAGAACCGTCTGGTTTTCAGCCGGGCTCCAGTCGTCCAGCAGGACATTGAAACCGCTCAAACACGTCGCCTCAAAGTGGCAAGAATTTACGGTTACATTTCAGGAAATGCAGCCGGACGTTTATTATTTTTCACGTTTTGTCTTTTGATGCGTAAATCAAAATGGAAAAAGTGAAACAAAAATGTTGATCGTTTGTTCAACTCTGCTCATTCTTTGACACTACAAGGAAATAAAACAAAACAGGTGATCAATATAAAAATCAGACTGCTTATAAAAGGGAAATGTTATATTTGAAACAATCCTTCAGATTTCTTTTGAAGTGGGGTTCAGTGGAGAAATTACGAATGGTTAATATCTTACCTGTTAAAGCTTTTTGAACATCCTCAGCTTAAAGAAATGGTTTTATTTCTGAGTAGACTGATGAGGGCAGCACGGTGGATCAGTTGGTAGAGTTGATGCCTCTCAACGAAAAGGTCAATGGTTCAAATCTCGGCCCCTGGTACCTTTCTGCGTGGAGTTTGCATGTTCTCTCCGTGCATGCGTGGGTTTTCTCCGGGTACTCCGGTTTCCTCCCACAGACCAAAAACATGCATGTTAGGCTGATTGGTAACTCTAAATTGTCTCTAGGTGTGAGTGAGAGAGTGAATGGTTGTCTCGTTTGTCTCTGTGTCTCTGTGATGGACTGGAGACCTGTCCAGGGTGTCCCCCGCCTCTCACACAGTGATTGCTGGATATGGGCACCAGTGATCCCCTGACCTAAAAAGGAAGAAGTGGGTTAAGATAATGGATGGATGGATGGATGGATGGATGGATGGATGGATAGATGGATTGATGAGCAAAGGGCTAGTCTCTGGGCTTATTCCTGCTGGAACAGGATCCAGGAACTCTTATTTTGACAGGGTGCGTTCCAACAACAGTTTTCTTTGATCTAGTAACTATCAGGCCTACTACTAATACGGTTATGAACAAATTTGCCTCGAACAAATAAAACTTTTCCACAAACACTCATTTCAAAGACAACAACCACGAGCTTCATAATATCACATCTGCCTCTTCAAATGAAGCATTCCCGCTGCTTCTAGCCTTAAAAATCATCTCCGCCCCTCAAAGTCCAAATTCATTGCACGTTTTTATTAAAAAAAAAACCTAAAAAATATAAGTAAGCAGCACAACAAAATTGCAAATCAGTTTTATAGTTTAAGTTGGTCATTAATAAAATTTTGATTATTTATTAAAAAAATGAGAATTATTTGATAGGTAATCACGTACATCTTGATGTGCCACTTTGTCCAAATAACATCGATCAAAATGTTGAGCACAGTCCAGTTTCATTTTGTACACAGAAGACCAACGTAACAATGGAGACTTGAATCGCATGAAGACAGTGGACGTAGAGATGTTTAACAACCCATTAAAATACACCAAAATGCAGGAAATGACATCTACTTTATTGAAAAATTTCTGGGGGAGGACCCAGACCCCTCCATCCCCCGCACCCCCACCGCCCCCCTGCTACTTGCGTTCCAGTTTACAAATTAAACCCTGGCTAGTCTCATTTGAACAAGGCCTAAGTTTGCTGCAGTCAAACAGAATAAACCAGTAGTTTAAGTCCTTAGTGATGCATTGCTCTATCATTCTGGCAGAAAGGTCATATTCTCCCAAATATGTCCCAGGCTGCACCTGAAGTGCTACAGCTAGCTGCTGCTGCCACTGTTTGCTCTTTCAAATTTCTACGTAACAAACTAATTTAAAGTTGATGATGATATAAAAGTTTAATAGGTGGCGTTTGCAAGATTCAGTATGAACTTTTTGAGATTTACACAGTTTTAAGATAACGGTCAGTTTTGGTCCAGGGCTAGCTAAGACTAGCCGCTAGCTCGTCAGTCCTGTCAGACGTCGCGGTGAAGTCGTTCAGTTTTCTCTCTTAAATACGCTGCTAAAACAAAAAAAACGTGCAAATTTGCTTCACTGGCTTTCTGAAAACACTTGTGTAGAGCAGCAAAGTTTAAAGTTCACCATCTGCTGGATTTATTTAGATCTCTTGAATAAGTTAAACGGAAACGATATATTGGACCATCTCTATTGAGCTAACGTTAGCTTAATTCAGTTTGCCAACTACAGATAAAACTCGACCCTTTTTCTGCTGAAGCTCGTGATTATCTGCTTTTTATCAACAGTTACTAAAGTTATAAATTACAACAGCTGGTTAAATTATCTCTCAAACCTGCTTTATTTAATTACCAGCTGAGCCGACAACGTGTTGGCATAGAGGCTTTTAAAAACCACAGCACGTCATGATATTTAACCTTTATTTAAACGGGTAAATCCCATTGAGCCTCGGGGACTCATTTACAAGAGAGACCTGATTTTAACAAAGAATGATGACAACAATAGACATTGATTAAAAGTTCATACAGATTTTATTTATTTATTTATTTTTACAAATAAGATGACAAAAAGAGTAACAAAAACAGCTAGATTCTAAGGTGAATGTAGAAAACTAAAAACAGGAACATGTCTGCATTGGTCCCTGCCAGGAGTCCAACAGATTCTTAAATCCACTTAGAGAGGTCAAGGTCGAGAGCTTCAAATCTTTTTGTAAGATATTCCAGGAAACAGGAGCAGAGTAGGAGAAGGTCCTTTTGCCTAGTTCAGTCCGCTCTGAGGGGACACTGCAGGTAATAATGTCCTGAGAGCGCACGCTGTAGCTGCACTCACACAGAGACATGTAGGAGGAGATGTATGAAGGCAGCAGACCAAGAAGTGATTTAAAGATGAAAATGTACCAGTGAGAGATTCTGTGGGAAGTTAATGATGTCCAGTTAACCAGTGAATACAGGGTGCAGTGGTGGGTACGATAATCACAGCCAGTTATGAATCTTAGTGCACCATGATAGACAGCATCCAACATCTGCAGGGTGCTTGTAGGAGCGTTCATGTAAATAATGTCACCGTAATCAATGGAGGGAAGGAAAGTCACAGATACAAGGCGTTTCCTAGCATTCAGGGTTAGACAGGATCTGTTTCTGAAAAATAAACCCAGTTTAACTTTCAGTTTCTTTATCAAGTTTTCCACATGGAGCTTAAAAGAGAGATGTGTTGACCAAGATACCCAAATATTTGTAGGAATCAACAAACTCAATGGAGACACCATTTGAGGATAAAATCTGAGGAATAACTGCTGGGACCAACTTCCTGTTTGAAAAAGCATCCCTTTGGTTTTGTTGGCATTTAGGACAAGTTTGAGGCAGAACAAATCAGTCTGGATGATGTTGAATGCAGATTTCAAAAGCTGGAAAGCCTTAGCAACAGTTTTAGCTCGACAATAAACAACTGTGTCATCAGCATAGAAATGTATGAATGCATCAGGGATGTTTTTACCTACATTGCCTATGCAGATTGTAAAGAGGGTGGGTTCTAAGACTGAGCCTTGAGGTACACCGTTTAAATTGATGATAGATTATGGGATGGAAAGTTTCTCTTCAGACGAGCTTTATTTTTTTTTGAACTCATAAGATAACATTGCACTCTGAACGTGCTTCTTTACAGCGATGGAAACTGTTCAGGCAAGCTGCACACTGCATGAATAACTTTTTTTTATTTATGTCTCACCGTTGCTGCCTTTTTAACATCATTACTTTTAGGAACCAGTAAAACTTTCAAACCTGCGTCGTGCCTTTTACAGTAAGCTTGGATCATGAGTTTGATCTGCTCCGTAAAGCACTTTAATTATTAAACTAAGCCATATTTGAGTTTTAGTCTGTATAAATGTTTTATATTTTGTAGCTCTCTACAGAACTGCCCAGTGAACTGTTCAGTCGATAAATGAAGAGAAACTTTAAGTGGAAGCTTTGTTCAGATCTGCCTGAATTATTGATTAAAGCTGTTTTTTTAAGTTTCCTCTCATTCTGCCTGCATGTTTGTTCACTACAATGATTTTACTGCATGCTGTTAATATGATTTAAAAAAATCTTTCCAGTGGAGGATCTTGAGAGGAACGACGGCAGTGAAGAGAAGCCCTACCTGATGTCTGAGGACCTCCGCAAAATCCTGAATAAGAAGAACAAGACGAGCCCAGCTCAGTAGAGCACTTTACTGTCTGTGAGGTGACGCTGTGGCCTGCAGGGGACGATCAGATCCACGTCCTGCCAGGATCCTGAGTCCTCGTCACCTTCGTGACTTGTTTCTTAAAGCTTAGGATTTTCAGATTAGTGGATTTTAAACATTTTAATGTTCAATTTTGAAGAGAAAATATTTTTAGCTTTTTTTTTTTTTTAATCTCGGAGAAGCGACATACTTCAAGTGTGTGTTTTTCTTCGCGTGTATGTATTTTATGATGGTATACTTGGCTTTAAAATATGGTTCTGTGCTTTTATCCATGATGTTTTTTTCTTGTGGTGGTAAATGTACGCATGTGGCCGAAGCGTGTTGGTGAGGTGTAGTTGATGCTTTTATAGAGCGTGACATCAGATGCTGTGGAGCTTTAAACGGCAACCGTTAATGTAAATGCACAAAGTTGGTGTGCAGAACTGGATTCGGGTGTTTCCTGTATTTATGTGAGATTTTCAAATAAAACTTTTCTAAAATATTTTTCAGCTGATACTTTATCTCTGCTGCTTTGTCATCACTCGTTACTACTGAGCATCAAATTAGGGAAAGTATATTTTGACAAATAGATTTTAGTTTCTTATATTTTACTCTCCAGTGGTCAAAGTTTACTAGTTAATGTTTTAAATCAGTATTTACACATAAAATTATTGATTAGTACTTGAGCCACTTGAATTTGAGAACAAAGGATAAAAATGAGTAGCAGCGTTGTAAAAGCCGTTTCTTTAAATCAGGCGTGTTTAGACAACAAAACATCTTAAACCTGCAGGACTGTGGCCCCCGATGACCAGGGCTGGGGCCCCCTGACCTGCGAGTGAAATAAAGATGTTTGTTTGAACTCGGCTCTAAGTGGATTTTTAATATACTGGTTTATAAAAGTTATCCTTGTTGTGCGCGTGCCGAGGCCACTTCTGACACAGAAAATACTTTGAATGTTTTAGTTCAAGTTGATGCTGAAACACGTAAAAAATGTATTGTCTGAAAACAATCTGCAGATTTTTAGAGAAGAGTAATGTTTCAGAAAAAGGAAAGATGATGCCTCCACAGCAAACCTGCAGAGAATCGTCCACCAAAACTCACAGCAGGTAAGGAGAGGATTAACTAGAGAAGCAGCCAAGAGTCCAGAGATGACCCTGACGGAGCTGGGCAGCTCTTCTGGAGAAGTGGGAGAATCTGATCTGAATCAGCTGTGAGCAGGAACAAGAGACTGGAATGCTGGTAATTTATTTGTGTGGAAGAAGGTGCTGTGGTCATGAGAAAAAATCAACTTTATTTAAGGGCGACACGGTGTTTGAGGCAAATCTACCAAAACTCACTGAAAACGCCATCCCTGCAGTCAAGCATGGCAGTGGCAGCATCATGCTGTGGAGATGTCTTATCAGCAGGGACTTGGTTCAGAGTTGAAGGAAAGCTGGATGTAGCAAAATGGAGACGTTCCTACAAAGAACCTTTGAGTCTTCCAAAGATTTGAGACAGGACAACGACCCGAAACACCCTGCTGAAGACGCATCCACTGGTTTATGGGCCTGAAATGATCCAAAGCCCAGACCTAAATCCAACTGAGATGCTTTGATATAATTATGTTGGACTCCAGCAGCACCCATCCAACATGAAGGAGCTGCAGGAGTTTGGTCAAAAATTCTGAGGTTGGATGGACCAAACATGGAGAAGAACCAGAAGCTGCCTGCGCATTAGACATCACCCGTAGCTGCTTTTAATTAAATCCTCATTTAAAACAAATTTGTATTATTTGGTTTTTGCTACTTGTTAACTGTTAAGTTTTAAGGTTTTATTGTTTCTAGTGTTTGTAATGAATTGTATGTTTTATTGTAATGTTGTGTACAGCAATTTGTTCCATTAAAAACTTTTAAAGGATTTGATTAATAAAGTTGAGTTAAAGTAATGTTGAAGTTTCTCAGCTACCCAAGCCAGCAGCCATGCTACTGGTCCAGTGGACAGACACTTGCTAGGTCCATAAAGGAGCCAGGAACAAATGAAGCTGCAGTAAATAAAAGAAAATGCTGTGAGAGCACAACTATTAAAAGTATATTCACAGAAGATCATTTATTGCGCAGTGTTTACATCTGCTGTCCTTCCATCGACATATTCATGAAACAGTGTACACATGTTTTTAAATAGACGGTTTGCAGCTCAAAAGATTGTTTTAGTTTAAAGTTAACACTTTCACTCAGTGAGCTGTCTGTGATGTAATTTCACTTTGCAGTTTCTGTGAGGCTTTATTTCTTTACAAGATGCAAAAAAAATCCTCTATGGAAGTGAAAAATAACCAGAAATGTGAGTTTTGGATAATATTTTGTTCTCATTTAGATTTAAATGAAGCGCCTGAGGAGGAACTAGAAACCTCCAAACAATGGTCCTGAGGAGGAACCATAGAAACCTCCAAATGATGGACCTGAGGAAAAAACACATAATCCTCCAAATGATGCACCTGAAGAGGAACCATAGAAACCTCCAACCAATAGACCTAAGGAGGAACCATAGAAACCTCAGAACGATGGTCCTGAGGAGAAACCATAGAAACCCCCAAATAATGTACCTGAGGAGGAACCATAGAAACCATGGATTTATTGTTCATTTTTTGGACTGATGTTTTAATTCAGTTCAATTCAATTCAAAAATACTTTATTAATCCCAAAGGGAAATTATTTGTTGTTGTAAATCGTTATCCTCATTTCATTAAGAGATGTTATAGATACTGATGGCTGTAGACAGGAAGGATCTCTTGTAATGGTCCATCCTACAGTGGATCCTAAGAAACTGGCCGCAGATGCCATCCGATCCGTCCACCCAGACTCAGCAGGCCTCTTGATTCCCCCAGGCTGTAGGACCGCCCAAATGCTGGGCAGAACTCCTCCCAGTGCGATGGCCACTCCTCCCAGCAGCCTGCAGAGCTCCTCTTCGCTGCAGACAGCCAACTGTAGGTGCCGAGGGACGATCCTGTTCTTCTGCTGTCATGAGCCGTGTTTCCTGTTAGTTCCAGGATCTCAGTAGTCAGACACTCGAGCACAGCTGGCAGGTTGATGAGAATGCATCCACAGAACATCCTTTTCAACTCATTTGAGATTTGGGGCTGTAGTTGAGATATTATTTGAGCTTTTGAGATGTTAATCAGCTGCTCCTGGTTGTAGAAAACTGCCTTGTTGCCATGGTTACGCATCATAACAAATGTCCAAAACTAAAAAAGTTTCAGTAAAAATCCTTCCAGCTGCACAGCATCTGATACCAGAGGAAACAATCATCCAAAAAATGTGACTTACATCCAGAAAAACAGTAATTAAAGTTTCCAAAAGCAAAATTTCAAAATGAAAGTAACAGAGCTGCTCCAACCTTGAGCGGCGCAATTCTAGAACTCATACCCATCTGCTCACCACAGACTCATGTTCAGGCTGCTGTTGTTATGCCCTATTGTTTTACATTATTAGTGTTTAGTGTATATCTTAGATCTTTTATACTGTTTCTTTTTACACTTTATATTTTTGCTATTTTTGGGTGTAGCTGGGAGCTTGAGTACATAATTTCATTCTATCTCATGTACCACATGTGATGCGAATGACAATAAACTTGACTTGAACTTCAGCAAAATGAATCTGCACACCAAGGAAGGTGAATTAGTTTAGGCCTAACTTGTTCAGACTCATGTTTAGGGGTGAGTGGTGATAACCTACTCTGCTCCAGTGCCAGTTACACACATGGAAGATAGACAAGCGCCGGTCAGAGCCATCAGGTGCCACGTTTAGGAAAAGAAAAGAAGAGGAGAAACGAGCAAGATGCTGCTGTGCCACCTTTTGGAGCATGAAAGGTGTTATGATATGTAGGCTGTAGCCTTTCGCAAGATAGATGGATGGAAGATAGGATTACTGTTAAGTAATAACATAAGACACTAACTGTTCTTTAAGTTTAGCTGCTTACGACGACATATTTGGTTTTCAGCAGAAAATATAGTTTTGAAGATTGGAATTATTTTAAAACTAAACTACTACTGTACACGGGGAAGTAATATTAGGCTATAATTACTAAAGGCAACGATCTTGTGATGTAGCTTGGAGAATGTTAAATAGCAATTAACAGGAACAGGTGCTGATTTGTCTCCTATTCTGAATATTTCACAAATTGGACATATATGTAGGCCTGTTTGCTTTGTCTTAGTTGATATTTGCTTTATCAGTATGACAGTCCCCAAATCACTTCACAGTACTTGTCAAGTTAACCTGCTGTTGGCATTCCAGCCATCCATCCAGCTGTTCATCCATCTGTCCATCTTTCCTTCCGTCCATCCATCCGTCCTTCTGTCTGTTCAGTGATGAATCTGTCTGTGTCTCACCCGCTGTAAATACTAGAGGCCATCAGGGCACTAAAGATCAGTCATTAGGCTGATGGGCCTCCTTTTGCATGTGAACTAGTTCTGGCTGCCAACAGCAGACTGGTTGATCCACAATGAGAAGGCACTATTTATAAGACTGAGTTTGTTGAAGCTCTCAGACTGAAAAAAGTATTTGGGATAGAAGACAAAATATTTCAACAAAAAATAAGCCGTCCAGAGGACCTGACTCAACCTTGTTAGATTTAGCTACCTGGATTATTGAGCGTGCATCATCAGGCCATTAGGTTAGAATAGTTTTAGAACCCAGTCAAAACTACAAAATTAAATCACCTTGATAAGTACAATCCTACAACTAAAAGCAGATGGAGTTTATTTCCCACAGGACTGCATTCAGATCATTTTTTTTTTAAACAAATGTATTGAAAAACAGCAGGATGAGATGATCAGTGGTTTAGCGCGGTACGGCACAAAGGCGGTAAGGTTTGGGACAACAAGTGGCTCCCATTTCAAAGTCCAGACTGGGCTGCTCTCCTGCAGGAGCTGAGAACTTGAACCTCTGAAGGAGGGAGGAGAAAAACAGGAACAACTCCATTTTGGCCAGCTGTTCTCCAAGACACACACGTTTACCTGAGAACATAAAATGAACACACAAAATACATGAAAATTTGTTTGATCATAAAATATTATTAATGTTACGGAACAACTTACACAAAAGAAAATACTGCTCTGACAACAAACTGGGTAAAAAAGATGTCTGTGTTTCTGAAAATGCTAAGTTCAGTAATTACATTAAAACCTCTTTATTCATATATTTTGTTGCAGTTTTTTGTGTGGTTGTTGGTTAAAACAGCACAGAATAAAGTGTAAAGAATTGTAAACAAATCACTGACCAGCAGAAAAAGGAAGAAATGCCTCTCTCCTCCTAAATTTACCATCCGGGTCCAGAAAGTGTTGAGGGTTAAAGGAGTGTGGAGTTTCCCAGATGGACTCATCGTGCAGGACTGAGTGCAGCACAGGGATGACCATCGTGCCCTGAAAAGAAAGTACTTTTTATTTGTTTTGAAAAGTTTTCTCTTATGTCTTTTAACAATTATGAAAGAATGGGTAACTAATTATCTTATATTTATCCAAGCTTGATCTTTATCCAGTTTTATTTAATAGTAAAAGTGATTTCTGGTGTTGTGAAGTTGCTGTTTATCAAGCTGGGGGAAGGTTCTGAGTGTTGTTCGCACCAGACTGGAGTTCAAATTACTCTGCATTCTTGAAGTCTCTGGATGGTGCCCTGGAAGGGTGGAGGAGTGCTGTGGGGTTTTGTTTTATTATTATAAAACTAAAAATTATTATTCATTTTTTTTTTTTTTTTTTCTTGCTCGTGGCGAAGACAAACGTTTTTCCTCTTGCTCCTTCCCCTGCTCTGCTCTTTGCCCTGGGAACCTTTTGAGAGCCTCTTTCTGCGTATCTTCTGAATCGTAAATTATGGAACTGGTCAGCTGGTCTCAACGCAATTGATCAAATTTTCTCAACAAGAAGACAGGGCGATGGAGAGCCCTCTTGCCCTGATGGGACACTTGCAGCTGGATACATGATGGATTCCTGGGGGAAGTGGAAGATCGTGTGTCTGTCCATTCTGTCAGTTGAGGATGCTGAAGGTGTGTACATAATTGGATTTATGATAACAGGATTTATGCTTTGTGGAGTTGGTTACCTGGCATATTGACAAATTCAGAAAACATCGGCAGCTGCTCTGGTCATTGTAAGGCTGCACCGCTTGTGTGAAGGAATGTACCATGCTGTCAACACTCAGACTCAAACACTGTGTGAGCTGAGCCATAAGCTGGACACGATTTCTGCTGAGAATCGCAGGCTACTTGTGGCTCCTGAATTTCGCTGGCGAGAAGGAATAGATCTTGGAGAAGTTGTAAGCTCATCTCGGTATATGTAACCACAAATTTGGCTGTTTAGAGTCGCCACTGAGTTGTACTAGCGAGACTGTAAAGACAGAAAGAAATTAACAGTCTGCCTGACCCAAAACAACTGTTGCTATCTGAATCTGGCTCCCCCGAGTCAGCCTTGGAAGTTGACTATCTCGATTTCTCCTGGATGTTATATGAACAAGATGCTTTTGTTTTACCTTTTTTTGTTTTACCTATTCTTTCCTCATGTTTTCTCTTTTCCTTATCTAAATGAAAGGGCAGCGTTTCCCACGAGGCTGCGGCCTCAGACATCACCGTCTACCCATGCTTGTGTTCTCTTTAGACAGCTGTCTGAAATGCAATTTCATTGTGCTTTTGTGCAATGGCAATAAAGCTGATTCTGATTTTTAGGTGACTTCAATGTCCATGAGAACATTGAAGGAGTCACTGTGAGGGCAGGGATTTGTGATCTGACTCCCTGATCTATCCAAGGGATGTTTTCCCATTGGACTTCTATATCAGGCTTTGGCTGTCCATTTAATACACCAAGTTTGTGTGTATGGTGGTCTATCTGCATTAAGCATCAGGTCTACTTGGTCAATGACCAATTTTAGAATTGTTCCAGTAGTCTTACAGCCCTAAAGTTAATAAATAATAAGTAAAACATTTACCTTTGGAATTGTGTATTTATCCAGGGTAGTGTCTTTGTTCGTCATGTGTGGCACGTTGAGAGGGACAACATTTCCCATTCTTTGTGTCTCATGGATGACTGCATCAGTGTATGGCATGTTTTCTCTGTCATCCAGAGAAGGATGTCTGGATGAACCAATCACAGCATCAATCTCAGCCTGGACCTGCTCTGTACACATTGTAAACAAAACAAAATGTGAGTTTATGTAAAGTGCACACATCGCGTTCTCAAATGTTTGAGTGTGAAGCCCACAGAGGTTTTCACAGACCACAATTCACTTGTCTTTCTTTCCAGGATGTACAATAACAATCAGCGGTTTATGCTGTGGGCTTTGATTATCCAGGAGTATAACCTCAGGATCTGTCATAAAAAGGAGTCAGAGAATGCCCTGGCTGACACGATGTCATGTTCGCTATGACCCCATGTCATCTCTTTGAATGTTCCAAACATTTTGTTTGGACTTGTAGAGGTGTTACATGTGTGAGGGATGTTACATGTCTGGGGGACCATGTGTTTCCCCCTCTTGTTTGTTTTCTCCTTAGATGCAGAACACAGGCTGGTGCCAATTTGGAGGTTTGAACTCGGATTGGATGGAGAGTTGGAAAGGACCAATCAGTAACACACTCTTTGAAGTGAATGGATATTTATAATCCTGATCCTTTCAAAAAGCCTTATATCCCATCTCGATCCATGTTTGTGCATGCATAGACCAAGAAACAATTAGTCAAAGCAGATGACCGCTTGTCCTGAGCCTGGTTCTGCTGGAGGTTTCTTCCTTTTAAAAGGGAGTTTTTCTTTCCACTGTTGCCACTGTGCTTGCTCAGGATGGTAGACTGCAACGAAGCCAAGATTCAACTTATCTGCTGGATTCCTTAGATAGAGAACTTTACTAATTGGCTTTTATGTATGTGAATGTTCCTGTAAAGTGCCCTGAGACAACTTTGTTGTGATTTGGCGCTATATAAATAAACTGAATTGAATTGAATTGAAACAGCAGCTGCAGTAGCTATTTCAACCAGCTTACTTATTATGTTATTTTGAGTAAGAATGATCTTCTTTATATTTTTTTAAGTGATCAAGTTTTCCTCGAGGAACTTAAATAAAACAGCCTGATGCAAGATGGACACCTAAGCTAATTAACCTTAGCAAACACAAAAATGTCCATATTTCAGTATTTTTTTTTAGGATATTAAGCTAAGTTTTTTTTTGTTTTTTTTTTGGACAATAGCTAAACATCATTCAAAAAATATATATATTCCAGGTACTCAAAGATTTGGTAATATCTGTGTCTAAAACTTTGACATTACAAATTGGAGTCAACCCTGTCTATTTGTGAAATATTTCAAGAACTACTGGACTATTTTTTAATCATAAAAATGTTGTGATTGTACATACATCTACAACTGTTTTAACTTACTTCAAGATAAATTCAAAAAAAGTTCAGGACAAAAACAATTGGACTTTATTTGTAACAGAAGATGTTTCACTTCTCATACAAGGAGCTTTCTCAATTCAAAGAAAAAGAGTGTGGGATTTGAGTTATAAAGCTGAGGTAACTAGAAGCATATGCAGATTGTCCTTTCACTCCTCACAATAGGACCCAGACCAGTGGTTATTCCGTATGTTGAGGGAGTATCAGAGAAACTGAGACGTTTATTTTCTAAACATAACGTCCCAGTGGCTTTTAAACGCCAAAATACATTACGGCAAAGACTGGTTCATCCCAAAGATCCAGTCCCCCGGCACAAACAGAGTAATATTGTGTATGCTGTTCAGTGTCAGGAGGGCTGTGATCAGTCTTACATCGGGGAAACTAAACAGCCACTGGCCAAAAGGATGAACCAGCACAGAAGATCAACATCATCAGGCCAGGACTCTGCGGTCTACACTCATCTCCAGGCCAGCGGTCACTCTGTCAGGGATGAAGATGTTCACATCCTGGACAGAGAGGAACGATGCTTTGAGAGAGGAGTAAAGGAGGCCATCTTTGTGAAAAGAAATCGTCCATCATTAAACAGGGGTGGAGGCCTCCGGGTTCAACTGTCCCCCTCTTACAATGCTGTGATTGCTAGTATCACTCAACATCCTGTGAACAGTAAACAGCCATCAGTGTGCTAATGATCCATTGTTAGGCTGATGGTCCTTCTTGACCATGTGATCAGCTGGTTTTGGTTGTCAGCATCAAACTGGTTGATCCACTCTGAGAATGTGCTATTTAAGAGACTGAGCTGAATACAGCACCTCAGACTGAGGAAGTCTTTCGGATGAAAGACGAAACTTTTCTACATTTTTTTGTTTTGTTTGGTTTTTTTGAATGTCCAGAGGACCAGATCGAACTTTCTTAGATTTTTCTACCTGGATTTTTGAGCATGCATCAGGATATCCTCACAATAGGGGTTTGTTAGGGTCTTTGTTAGTATGACTGACAAATGGGCCACTCCGGCCAAGATGGCCATGCTCCCTAGAGCTGCAGCTTCATAGGCTCCCGGTTCCATCCCAGTTTTTAGGAGATCTGAAAGTGTCTCTGTGCCTGACTCTGCAAATTTATGTGTGTGAATTATAGCCAAATTGAACTGATGAGAATAAGAGCGGATTTGCCACAAAATATAGCAGAAATCAGCAACAAACTCAAATCTACGCTCGGCAGAATGCAAATCTTAAAGTCATTTACCTGGAAGCTGCAGCAGAGGTGCTCCAATGGACAGAGGAGGAGACGTTGCTCCCGGCTTAAAAAGCGAGGTCGCTGGGCAGGGGTGATGGTGAGGCTACAAGCTAATGCTAAAGCTGGAAAACTCCTAATACCATATCTCTTTATGTCAAACGCCCACTCATTGGACAACAAGATGGATTTGCTTTGGCTGAGAGTGAATGCATCAGAGATGAGAAAATGTGTGGTGCTTTGCCTCACGGAATCATGGCTTACCAATGAGATGCCAGATTCAGCCTTCTAGCTGGATGACAGACTTTTTTCCAAGCAGACCACTGCAGCAAGCTAATGGGGAAATCGATGGGAGGTGGAGTATGCTTTTACCTGAGTAAAAGTTGGTGCACAAACTGTACGCTGGTAAAAAAAAAGTTCATGCTCCAAGGCTTTGGAGCAGCTAACAGTGAAATGTCAACCACATTATCTACCCCGTGAGTTTACAGTCATGCTCATAACAGTTGTTTACATAGCCCCGGATGCTAATGCTAAGGACGCTCTGTGGGAACTTCATTATCTTTTCAGCTCGCTGCAGAGCAAACACCCTGAGGCTCTTTACAAGGTAGCAGGAGACTTTAATCACATTAATTTAAAAGAATGCCTCCAAAAATTATAGCGGCATGTGGCCATACCCACACATGAAAACAACACGCTGGATCGTGTTTACATGAATGTAAAAGATGCATACAAAGCCGAACCCCGCCCCCACCTAGGACTATCTGATCACATCTCAATATTCCTGGCTCCTGCTTACCTTCCCCCGCTGAGAAGCTCCAGACCGGTACAAAATAAAGTTAAATCTTAGATCCAGAATAGTGGCCCCATACTTAAGGATTGTTTTGAACAAATGAACTGGTCTTCAGAGAAGCTGCTGAATATGGGGGAGCACTAGAGCTGAAGCAATGCACATACTCAGTTCTGGGGTACATTAGTAAATGTGCTGATGATGTCACCACCACCAAATATGTTAAAAGCTACCCGAAAAGGAAGCCTTGGCTGAATGCAGAAGTTCGTACTCTGCTGGAAGCCAGGAACACTGCCGGTCTGGAAACTCACAGGAAATGAGAAGGACAAGGAAAGAGCTGGTTGCTGATATTAAGAGGGCCGAGGCCACATATGCACAGAGGATGCAGGGTCAATTCACTTCACAAGACCCACAGAGCATGTGGAGGGCCATTAAGTGCATAACAGATTATAAAAGCAGAAGTGAACAATGCACTAGAGACCCATCACTGCCTGATGTCCTCAACAGGTTCTATGCACGCTTTGAAGACCCGAACAGACCACTCAGCACCAGACTCACCTCACCACTGGACGAAGAGCATCTCAGCGTGAACTCAGCCGAAGTGAGAAGTACTTTCAGGAGGATTAACCCTCACAAGGCAACCGGCCCAGACAACATCCCCGAGAAGGTGCTGAAAGAATGTGTCGACCAGCTCTGCGATGTACTGGCCGACATCTTTAACTCATCACTTACCCTGGAGACAGTTATCACCTGCTTGACAACTTCCACCATCATCCCAGTCCCAAAGAGCTCGACAGTGACAGTGACTGAATGACAATCGGCCAGTGGCCCTCATCCCAATAGTCTCTAAATGCTTCGAAAAACTAGTTATGACCCACATCAAAGCAACCATCAACATCAACGAGGACCCTCACCAGTACGCATACTACAAGAATCAATCAACAGAGGATGTCATCTCCTCAGTGGTCCACACTGCTCTTACCCACCTGGAGCAGAAGGACTTCTACGTCTGTATGCTCTTTGTGGACGTCACGTCTGCCTTCAACACCATGATCCCCCAAACCCAGATGGACAAACTACTCACACTAGGACTAAGCCCCTCCATTTGCAACTGGGTCCTAGACTTCTTAACAAACAGACCGTAATCAGTGAGGATCCACAACTTCTCCCCCTCCACCATAACCCTCAGCACTGGCTCATGACTGTGCACCTACCCATCAAGCTGTAACATTGTAAAGTTTTCAGATGACCCAGCAGTGGTGGAATGGATCACAAACGATGAGTCCAGCTACAGGCAGGAGGTGGAACAGCTGGAGAGCTGGTGCAAAGAGAATAACTTTCACATCATGTGAAGAAGACGAAGGAGATGGTCGTGGATTTTAGAAGGACAAAACGAATTTTTATATTATATTTTACTTTTAAAAATCTATTTATGGTGACCATTTAATTTGCTTTCTGTCCTATGACCCACAATGGACTTCTGAGCCAAGAACTTGGAACCAGAGTTTTAGTTTATTCAGTTCAGAACTGACCTAAATGAGACAGGTGAAAATATATAGTCATGTTGCATCTTTGCCAATACACACACCTTGTATATGAGGGTAGAGTATCATGTATAATAAACCCCAGAGTAAAGTAGTGGTGTTAGGTTCAGTTCCAGCACCAAACACATCCAGGATGCAGAAAGTCAAATTCTTGAGAAAAAAACTGGACTCTTTGTCTTCACTCTAAAAAAAAGCACAGCAACATGAAAATAATACATAAACAAATAAGTTTAAAAACTGAATTATTTAAATAAAAAAGCATAATTATCTTGCATGTTATATTTGGAATTATTATTGTTAATAATAATAATAATAATAATAATAATAATAATAATTACTATTATTATAAATTAATCATAAAAAATTAACAGCAGTGATAGAACACATACCTTTTCCATTTCTACAAGGAAGTAGTTGATGTAGTCTTTTGGTGATGAAGAGTCAAAGTTCTCCTTGTGCTCTTTAATTCTAATTTCAATAAAGTCAATAATTTTCTGTCTTTTATAGAAAAGCTTTTGATGAGGTCCAGGCAACCAGTTCATCAGCCAAGGAACTGCGCTGTAAATCTACAAAGTAGGGTGATAAGAAAACAGTCAACTGGAGGGACCAACATGACGCTGCTAACACCAATATAACAGTAAAGAATGTATACAGCGTTCTAATTCGAAACTAAATATAGCAATGCTTAATGTCCAACAATCAATTTTTGACAACTTTAAACGGTAAAGTCTCATCTGCCTTTTACATCCCTATGAGCTTTATTTTCATTTCCCTCTTCCTGGAGGGGCCTGACTTGCATTTTACAGCTAGACGGTCTTAACATTTTAGGTGCGCTAAAGTGGTAAGTGTAAACCAGCCACTTGGGAGCAGAAGCCAGTGAATCTCTTGTACTGACCCTAAGCTTGGTTTAATGGTGATGGTTTTGCCAGGAAGCGCATCCAACATAAACCATTTTTCCTAAACTAAAGTGCAAGTTTGTCCAAACAACACTGTATAAGATTGATCATGGCCCGAGTAAACAATGACAGCCACAGTGCAGTTGACAATAAGGGTTTCAGCTGAAATTGAGCTACTGGTAGTAGACGACCATGAGGAGGAAAATTTATAATCAGTAGACAGAAGAAAAAGAGGAAAGTCAAGAGTGTAGGACTGAGGGTAACAACTCTAAATGTAGGGAAAAAGACAGGCAAAGGCAAAAAGATGATTCACATGATGCAGAGAAGGAAGGTAAATATTTTATGTGCGCAACAGATCATGTGAAATGGCAGCAAGAATAAAAGGGGCATTGTTTAGGGTGTTTTACCATGGTGTGGACAGGAAGAGAAAGGAGTAGGGCTAGTTATGAAGAAGGAGTTTGCAAAAAAAAAAAAAAACACATAGCAAAAGTAAAATGTGTGTCAGATAGAGTGATATATCTAAAGTACAAGTAAAAGTTCTGATGACAAATGCTGTCTATGGTTATGCTCCACGAGAGCATGAGATCATCAGAGGTACAGCACAGGTTGAACAATTGGGAGATAAAGTTAGAGAGGCCAAACTGAGATGGTTTGGACATGTCCAGAGGAGGGACAGTGGGTATATTGGTAGAAGGATGTTAGAGATGCAGCTGCCAGGAAAAAAGCCAAAGAGGAAGACCAAAGATGAGTTATATGGATGCAGCCAGAGAGGAAATGGAGGTAGTTGGAGTGAGGACAGAGGATGCAAAGGACAAAATAAGATGGAGGAGGATGACTCACTTCATTACTCCTGAAGAGGAAACAGCAAAAAGAGGAAGAAAAGGAAGGTTTACCATGTTAGGAGCCAAATGAATTGTAAGATATATCATAAAGAGTACACCTGACAACAAATGGAGAATATTTTTAAAGCATTGATATAACAAATTACAGGTTTGACTAAAGTGTTGTGGATGAATTCTGATTCATACTTGATCACTCTTGTGTGTTCAGAGTAGAAGGCTCACCTGTGCCCATATACTGCCTTCTAAGTACAAAATATCACTTAGGGCCTGGAGAACAGCTTGATACTTTTTGTCAGTGTACTCAAATCGTTTTCCAAAAAATAAACAGCTTATAATGTTGGACACAGAGTAATTTATCTGTGTCAGGGCATTAAACGGTTGACCTGTAAAACAAAAACAAAGAAAACAACAACAAATTGTGCGTAAAAATGTGAGATGTATCAAGAAAAGTCATGCAAACTTGACAAATCCTTTAAAAAACGATTTATGTAGAATATTGACTGTGAATACAGTAATATTGAATGTTGACCTCTCACAGGTACTGTAGATCTGCACATGTGTGGTATGTCCTTGGCACGATACCTACCAGCATGTGCCTGTCGAATGTCTCCTGCAGCATGTACATATTAAAGACCATGTTAAGTCCATCCATCCATTATCTTTACCCGCTTATTCCATTTTGGGTCACGGGGGTCGCCGGTGCCCATGTCCAGCAATCACTGTGCAAGGGGCGGGGTACACCCCAGATGGGTCGCAAGTCCATCACAGGGACACATAGAGACAAACGAGACAAACAACCATTCACGCTCTCACTCACACCTAGGGACAATTTAGAGTTACCAATCAGCCTAACATGCATGTTTTTGGTCTGTGGGAGGAAACCGGAGTACCCGGAGAAAACCCACGCATGCACGGAGAGAACATGCAAACTCCACCCAGAAAGGCCCCTGGACCGGGGTTTGAACCAAGGACCTGCTCGCTGAGAGGCAGCAGCTCTACCAGTTGCGCCACCGTGCTGCCCCCCATGTTAAGTCGATCATCTTTATTACCACAACACACAACATGATGTCATAAGTATTGGACTTATATTTTTATATGGACTACTGAGTGTTGTGAGTATTTCAAGAGTCAAGTCAGATTTATTTATAAAGCACATTTAAAACAGAAATAGTTATCAAAGTGCTTAACAAAAAGATCACAGTATCAAATAAAAAGTAACAAGATATAATTACAGCACATGGAATAAAATCTAAAAACACAAAACATAATTAGAAACAATGAAACAGTAAATCAAATCACCTCGTGTCAAATGTCAAGGAATAATAACAAAAAAAGGATAAACACAGTCAGAAAGAATGAAATACAATCAGATCAGATGACTGTGTGTTAAATAGGAATAAAACAAAAAACATAAACATTATCAGAATCAATGAAAAACTAAATCTAAATCTGATCACCCTGTGTTAAATGTCAGTGAGTACAGATGTGTTTTCAGGAGAGTTTAAAAAGCAGGGATTGAAGTGGCCTGCCTAATGTTGATGAGAAGATTGTTCCAGCGCTTAGGGCCCATTACTGAAAACACTCGATCTCCTCTGAGCTTCAACCTGATTTTTGGTACAGCCAAAAGCAGCTGGTCTGATGATGTCTAAGCCAAAGAAGGAGTACAAGTATAAAGAAGATCGGAGAGGTTTGAGGGTGCAAGTCCGTTAATGCACTTGAATGTCAGCAACAGAATTTAAAAAATCAATTATGGCACCTCCTCCCTCGGGACCCTGTCATATGATTTTTCTAAATCCACAAAGAGACAAGGAGTTCTTTCTGACCCTCTCTTTACTTCTTCATCAGCAAATATGAAGCAAAGCAAAGATGGCATCTGTGGTGCTCTTTCTTGGCATAAAACCATACTGCTGCTCGCAAACTGTTACCTCTCATCTAAGTCTAGCTTTCACAATTCTCTCTCAGATCTTCATTGTGTGACTCCATCCATCTGTCCGTCTGTCCATCCGTCCATTATCTTCTGCTTGTTCTGAAGTTGGGTCACAGGGGCAGCAGCCTGAGCTGGGAGGCATAGACATCTCTTTCCATAGTCACCTCTTCCAGCTTATCTGAGAGGAAACCAAGGCATTCCCAGGCCAACTGAGAGACATAGTCTCTCCAGCATGTCCTGGGTCTTCCCTGGGATCTCCTCCCAGTCAGACATGCCTGAAGCACCTCCCTAGGGAGGCGCCCAGGGAGCATTCTTACCAGATGCCTGAACCACCTCAACTGTCTCCTCTCGATATGGAAGGGCAGCAGTTCTACTCCGAGTCTCTCCTGGATAACTAAACTTTCACCCTATCTCTAAGGGAGAGTCCAGCTATCCTGCGGAAGAAACTGATTTCAACCGTCTTTATCAGTGATCTCATTCTTTTGGTCACTACTCAGAGTTCATGACCATAGGTGAGGGTAGGAACCTAGAATGACTGATAAACAGAGAACTTTGCATTACAGCTCAGCTCCCTCTTCACCACAGTGGACTGGTACAGAGTCTGCAATGCTGCTGATGCTGCATCAATCCATCTGCCGATCGCACACTCTATTCTTTCCTCACTCGTGTACAAAACCCATGTGTGACTCATCAAATTAATTCCCCTGTAGTTGCTACAACTCTGTACATTACCCTTGTTCTTAAAAATGGGCACCAGCACACTTCTTCTCCATCCCTCAGGCCTTGTCTCACCCTCAAATATGCCATTGAATATTTGAGTCAAAACTCTCACAGCCATCTCTCCAAGACATTTCTAAACCTCCACTGGTATGTCATCATGTCCTACTGCCTTTGACTTATTGATTATTTTCAGGGAGTTCCAGACTTCACTCTCGCTAATTTTTCCCACTTCCGGTCCACAGTTTCTATGTCCTCTACTCTTCTTTCTTTTTCATTCTCTTCATTCATTAGTTCCTCAAAGTACTCCTACCATCTTTGCATTATATTCTCCTCACTTGTTAGAACATAAAACCAAAGGGAGGCTTTTTTCAAATAGAAAGTCGGTCCCAGCAGTTCTTCCTCCGATTTTATCCTCAAATGGTGTCCCCATTGAGTTTGTTGATTCCTATAAATATTTGGGTATCTTGGTCGACTCACATCTCTCTTTTAAGCTCCATGTGGAAAACTTGATAAAGAAACTGAAAGTTAAACTGGGTTTCTTTTTCAGAAACAAATCCTGTCTAACCCTGAATGCTAGAAAACACCTTGTATCTGTGACTTTCCTTCCCTCAATTGATTATGGTGATATTATTTACATGAACGCTCCTACAAGAACCCTGCAGATGTTGGATGCTGTCTATCATGGTGCACCAAGATTCATAACTGGCTGTGATTATCGTACCCACCACTGCACACTGTATTCACTGGTTAACTGGACATCATTAACTTCACGCAGACTCTCTCACTGGTATATTTTCATCTTTAAATCACTTCTTGGTCTGTTGCCTTCATACATCTCCTCCTACATGTCTCTGCGTGAGTGCAGCTACAGCGTGCGCTCTCAGGACAATATTACCTGCAGTGTTCCCTCAATGAGGACTGAACTAGGCAAAAGGGCCTTCTCCTATTCCGCTCCTGTTTCCTGGAATATCTTACAAAAAGATTTGAAGCTCTCGACCTTGACCTCTCTAAGTGTCTTTAAGAATCTGTTGGACACCTGGCAGGGTCCAATGCAGACATGTTCCTGTTGTTAGTTTTCTACATTTGTCTTGGAATCTAGCTGTTTTTTGTTTTGTTACCTTTTCCTTTTAGCCATCCTATTTGTTAAAAAAAAAAAAACTGTAGTATGCTTTTTTTTAATAACTGTTTATTGTTGTTGCTGTTGTCCATTGTTGTCATCTTTCTTTGTTGAAATCAGGTCTCTCTTGTAAATGAGTCCTCGAGGCTCAATGGGATTTACCTGTCTAAATAAAGGTTGATTGATTACCATTCCCACCTTTAACAAGCCTAACCTACTGCACATCCTTCTTGCCTGATCCCTCTGTCTCGTCAATTGGTACAAGTCCTTCTCACCCTCTTTAGTGTCCAGTCTCCCATACAACTCATCATACGACTTTCACTTTGCCTTAGCTACCTCCCTCTTTGTTCTATGTCCTTTCTCCTTTTATTCCTGTCTTCTCTCTTCAGTCCTCTCACTGTCACATTTTTTCTTGGCTATCCTCTTTCTTTGAATAGCTTCCTGCACGTCACTATCCCATCACCAGGTTTCCTTATCATCCATTCTCTGTCCAGATGACACACCAAGTACCTTTCTACCTGTCTTTCTAATTACTGTTGCTGTAGTAGTCCAGTCATATGGAAGCTCTTTCTTACCACCCAGACCCTTTAACAACTCCTCTCTGTATTTCTCACAACATTCTTCTTTTTTCAGTGTCTACCATTTGATCTTCTTCTCTGATTTTACTCTTCTTCATCTTTACAAAAACAGTCATTCTACACACAACCATCCAATGCTGTCTGGCCATGCTCTCCCCTGCCACAACCTTACAGTCCCCAATCTCCCTCAGGTTTCCTCTTCTACACAGAATGTAGTCGCCCTGCGTACTCCTTCCTCCACTCTTATAGGTCACTCTATGTTCCTCCCTCATTTGGAAATTTGTGTTGACTACTGCCATTTCCATTTTCTTGGCAAAATCCACCACCATCTGTCCTTCCTGGTTTCTTTCCTTGATACCAAACCTACCCATCACTTCCTCATTCCCTCTGTTTCCTTCACCAGCATGTCCATTCAGGTCTGCTCTGATCACCACTCTCTCCTCCCTGGGAATACTCTATCTCATTTCATCCATATCTGTCCAAAATGTATTTTTCTCTTGCACATCACATCCAACATATTGAGCATAACCACTGACAACATTCAGCATCAGACCTACTACTTATATCTTCAGACTCATCACCCTATATTTCATCTTCTTCCTTTGTCTCCTGACATGTTTTCCTCCTCGTGGTCTTCGACTTACAGTAGCACAATTTCCACCGGCACCCTGCTTGTCAACAGCACCGGTGACGGTCGTTGTTAAGCCGAGCCTTGACCGATCCGGTAATGGTTTTGCTTTAATTAACTCAAATTATAGTTTTGGCAAAAGTGTTTTATGTTGAATGCCCTTCCTGACAATCCTCATCATTTGCCCGGGCTTGGGAATGGCACAAGAGATACACTGGCTTGTGTGCCCTATTGGCTGGTTTCATGACCAGCTGAAATATATCAAATGATGATCAAACTGAATTACTGCAATCTTTCAAATATTCAGTCAAATTATGTGATCAATGTACCACACACATCAATACCACATTGGAGATCAAATAATGGTGAATATCCTCCTAGTATCCTGATGCATGCTCAATAATCCAGGTAGA